AGAAATCCAAGATTTCGGGGGAGTAGATGAGAAGTTTTCTAGATAAATGTGGTTGAGAAATGCAGCAATTCAAAACCCAGATCGGTTGCACCCCTTTTATAGTCGGTCGATAATTCATCATCAGATGTACTACAATAGCTACAACTACTACTGCCATTCACGCAGTAGTACTGATAGATTTCCCTTGAAATGCGACGTACATTCATTGCCAAGTCACAATGGAAGAGATGGAATAGGAGAAGTTTGTGGCGGCTACAAAACGTTCGAAAGATGTCCATATGCGTCAGAAACCGTATAATCTCAAATTAGGAAATTATAAGCTCAAAGGCAGTGATTACGATAGGTATAGGAAGGGTTTATAGGGTACTGGTGATGCTCAGTGGTACGTAAGTAGCGGAAAAAACCGGCTTTTTTGGCCGTTGGTTTTCACTCATGAACAGGTAACAGCTCAGAAAGCGGACGTATGAACGAGTTCACCGCAACGCGTTTGGTGGCACCATGCCAAACTCCAATCGAGTTGCTCCAGTTGTGCCGCTGCTGGCAACGCAGCTCGTCCAAATCACCAACTAAACTAGTGGGCGGATCGCTTTTGGGGCGGAGTGCTTTCGAAGTCCTGCTCAGCAACCAGCGCACCTTTCGTCGTGAAAGCGCACACCTCGCTTCCTGGCAGCCAAGTAACTGATTCGTGTGGTGCATATGCTTCCCCGATGCGCTCCTTCTTTATCGTAATCGCTGCCTCCAAAAAAGCAAGACCCTTGACAGTTTGCTGGAGGGCATGAAGACCACTTTAAAATCCCGAAAGCAGGAGAGAGTTACGTAAATGTGAAGGCGACCGGCCATCCGTTGCGAGCGAGTAGAGTTGCTCAGAAGTGCAGCAGTGAAGGAAAAACCAAAGGAAACCGCTCATTACTCATAAAACGGGAGCCTTCTTATCACCGCTCTTTATTTCCGCGCACGACGAGTTTCAGCAATGGTGACGTCATCATCGTTGATGCAGCACTTTGCCTCTCTGCCAAGAGTTAGGCCTTTGACGAAGGACCAGTTAGGGCTGACCGACCGGAAGACTGACAAAGGCACAGAAGGCTTTAGAGGGTAAGGTAAAGTCTTATAACGTTGTATCGGAGCGCTGTTTTCCGCGAGAATGCCACGTTTTGGTTCCTAGGTGTCCTGCCTACCTTGGTAGCAAGCAGACTATCCCCTCTACAACAACACCTAATTTATGGTGCCACATGTCTTTGATGCTTTAGAGGAGTTTCTTAGCGTAAAGAGATACTATTCTCAATAAGCCCTAACCAAACGTCGAGAGATGTTTGGCCGAGCAATCAGTCA